GGTTAAGAGCTACGGCTATTAACCAAAAGGTTGGCAGTTCAAATCCACCAGGTGCTCCTTGGAAACCCTATGGGGCAGTTCTACCCTGTCCTTTAGGGTCGCTATGAGTTGGAATTGACTCGGCAGCTACAGGTTTGGTTATGGGTATCCAAAAGGTCTCCAAGTGGCACAAATGGTTTGCACTCAACCACTAACCTAAAGATTGGTGGTTCAAACCCACCCAGTAGTGCTGTGGAAAAAAAAAAAAGCCTGGCATTCTCCTTCCGTAAAGATTACAGGCAAGAAAACCCTCTGGAGTAGATCTCTTCTGTGATACATGGGGTCACCATGAGTCATAATAGACTCGACAGCAGCAGAGTGCTGAAGCAGCCTCCGAGCTGGCCTCCTGTCTCCACCTTCCCTCCCCTCACTCTCCAGTTTATCTCCCACACTCCTGCCAGGGGGAGCTTTCTAAAAGATAGACCAATCACATCACTTTTTTAGTTAAAAAAATTTTTTTCTTAAGTCTAGTATATCATGTAAGCCAATCTCTTCCATTGTATTTGGAGCCACAAAACTAATTACTGTCCCCAAACAAAACAAACAAAGAAAAAATGAGTGCATTTAAAATTGTTTATCCAATAATAAAAATACAAAAAAAAAAAAAACACTTAACATCTTGTTTGGTTTTAAAGACCTTTATTGACTTCCCACTGTTATCTACACAGTGGATTTCAACTCATTTGTGTAAGTAGAAGAACCCTGAATTTTTTCAGTGAGGTGTTAGAGGGAGCCACAATCTAGAAAACAGAGCAATCTGAGCTGCTCTGGGTGAAGCAGGGACAGAGGCCTCAGAGCCTGCCCCAAAGTCCCCCAGCCCCCCTCCAGAGGCCTAACTTGTGGGGGGGGGTGGCAGATAGGGTGCGTGCCCTGGGCACCACTTGAGGTAGGCACCAATCAGCAGTTGCTACCGGCCATCACAGTTTCCATTGCCAGCTGAGAGATCATTCAGCAATTTAATACTGATTGCCCTAGGTGCTATTTTCCATAGTTAGACCCTGCCACTCACTCTAGGGCCCAAGATACCCAAAACCCAAACCCACTGCCACCGAGTTGGTTCCAATTCACAGTGACCCTATAGGGTTTCCAAGGCTATAAATCTCTTTGAAGCAGACCGCTGCATCTTTCTCCTGCGGAGCCACTGGTGGTTTCGAACCACTGACGTTTTGGTTAGCAGTCGATTGCTTTAACCACTGTGCCACTAGGGCTCCTAGGGCCCAAGATAGCTCTATGGAATTCTGGAGTTCTTCTGAACAAAGCTGGAACTCTGCTGGGATTAAGCCTTTGCTTAATTAAGCACGGCATTCAAGGCCCTACCTACAGTGTCTGGGCCCAGTTCACCTTTCTGCTCTCAGCCCCTGCCTCTCCTCTGCACACAGTCCCACGTCCTTTTTACACGAACCACACGTGGCCCCAAGTGTGCCAGGCCCTCTGAGGCTCCATTCTGGGGCTCATGCAGCTCCCCCCCCCCCCAGTGTGTCCTGCTCATCTCTGTCTTGTGATGTCCTCCAAGGGTGAGCCCTAACGTCATCCTGTAGGGGACCCCCCCTTATGCCCGACTCAGACAGAGTCAACCCCTCCCTCCTCTAGGAACTCTGTGAAGGCTACTGTTTAACCCCTCCCACCTTGTGTTAACCTGGGTCCTTTTCTCCTAGGAATGTTGTGGGCAAGGGCCCTGCAGTATCTTTCCTGAATTATCCTGGCCCAGATTTTCAATCAGTGTTTGGGAAGACCGCGTCCTTTATCCATCAGCCGCAGAAGGGACTGAGATGTACTTGTGGATTCCGAGAACCTCTAGAGGAAGCACGAGGCCAAGAGCCCTGATCTGGAGAGCTGAGCCCTTGGCTCCAATTCTGGCTCTGCCCCATGCGAGGTCTTTAAATTCAGCTCTCTGCTGTTTCAGTGCTCCTGCGTGATGACGGTAATGATCCTGGTGGCTAATACTTAGAGGGCAGCTACCACATGCCAGGTGCTGCTGTAAGCGGTTCTTACGGATTAACTCATTTTCACTTTATGGAATGAAGGCTGAACCATCTATTAGATGGAATCCCTCTCTAGTTACATTTGGGCTGGAAGGGACCTTACAGCTCCCCTCCCGCAGCACCGTCATTTCACAGATAAGGAAACGGAGACTCAGAAGTGAAATAACTGCTAGGGGTGACTCGGCTGGTGGCAGAGCAGGCTGGTGGCAGAGCAGGCTGGTGGCAGAGCAGGCTGGTGGCAGGGCTGGCTGGTGGCAGAGCAGGCTGGCTGGCGGCAGAGCAGGCTGGCAGCAGAGCAGGCTGGCGGCAGAGCAGGCTGGCGGCAGGGCTGGCTGGCGGCGGAGCAGGCTGGTGGCAGAGCTGGCTGGTGGCGGAGCAGGCTGGTGGCAGAGCTGGCTGGTGGCAGAGCAGGCTGGTGGCAGGGCTCCTAGCTCTCTGGCGGCTGAGCTTTCTCCCACATGACACTGCTTCTCTGTGACAGGAAGAGGCCTGGGTACTGGCCAGAGTCACATTGTCTGAGCAAACTGTTTTACAAAGCTTCAACAGAGAGAAGAAACTCAGGTATCAGCACCACCCTACTCATACCAACCCTATAGGACAGAGGAGGACTGTCCTATAGGGTTTTCAAGGCTATAATTATTACGAAAGCTGACTGCCACATCTTTTTCCCATGGAGCAGCTGGTGGGTTTGAACTATTGACCACTTGGTTAGCAACCAAGCTCTTTAACCACTGTGCCACCAGGGCTCCTTACTTGGCTCATGCCTAACTTAAAAAAAAGTTAAATGATTCCTTTTCAAATTCGGTTTAATGTTTTTACTTCTTGGTAAGGCTTGCCATCACATAAGAGAATCTCTCTAACGATGCTAAGAGCAGTGCCAGTCGAGATTTAGGATAGAAACCACTTCTCATCCTCAGCTCTAGAAGCGCCCATGACTGCAAACTTGATCCTAGCCCAGCAGAGCGGGCTCCTCTGGACTGTGTGGTGGCTCTGGTTAAGGCTGTTACCACATGGCTTCAAGGACATGGCTGCCTTGACCTGCTGAAGTACAGCCAATCATAAGTTTCTGTTGGGAGGATGGTCTGTCATGCAGCCTTGTAAGCCTCACCTGGACTGCCTAATCGATGTTGGGCCTAGGACAGTCCCTGATCATGGAGGCTGGCAACTGGTCAGGGAAACTCCTTCCCTCTTATGAGTACACAATAAGCCTTCTTTGTACTGCTCATGCATGCGTGTGATTTAGCACCTGGCCACCCCCAATGCTATGTCTGTCTCCAGTGGGGAGGTAACAGGGTTACCTGCAGCATGACCTGCCAGCGATGGGGGACTGATATCCACTATTAAAGCTGATCTTGCTGTCTCGTTTCTATGTAAGTAAAGCATTATTCCAACTAGTGCATGTGTGAGTCATGTCTTTCTTGGCTGCCTTGGACCTTGCCTTGAAGACTTCTTAAAAGTAGGTCTCAATTCAGAGTTTATTTCCTGAGAGGCAGCATGATATCAAGGAAAAAGTGCTGAACCTTAAGTCAAAACTCCTGCCATTTATCGAGTGATGTTTGCAGAAGTCATTGACTCTGGCTGTATCTCTGATTTGTCCTAAGGAAAATTCTAAAATCAATTTGTCCTAAAATCGATTCCACTGTCCCTGCCTAGCTGGGGTTGCTGTGAAGCTCCAAGGAAATATTAAGGGAACTGGGGTGGGTAAGTACTCATTTTTCTTCTTTAAGGAGGGTACGACATTTGGAGAATGTTTTCCAGAAATGTTTCCTATCGCACCCCAGAGAAGGGAAGTAACTTAGCCAAAATCCACAGTGCAGTGTGGACATGACAAAACCTTGTGATTCACCCGTCCCTGGCATTCTGCCCTTTACCCAAACTGTTTTAGGATTACATTCATTCCTTTCTTCTTAAACTAAGAATCTGCAGACATTTTGTAAACCCATATGTTAATTTGTCTTAAAACTTTTAACTGAAGCCTAGCAGGATATCAGAATAGTATGTATTGAATGTATAATTGGTGCCAAGAGCTTGATACGTAATTCCACCCGACTCTTACAACAGCCCTGCAGAGCTGGTATTATCACCACCCACCCCATTCCGCCCGCTGAGAACCTGAGGGCCAGCAAAGGCAAGTCACCTGCCCAAGATCACACAAGGGGAAAGTTGCAGAGGAGATTCAAGCTCAAGTTTGCCCAATTCTAAATCCAAAGAAAAATCACAACATTAGAGGAAAAGGACGAAAAAGCAATAAATGTGATTTTCACATGGTGTTCACTGACGCTATTTCAGAAAAGTGCATACAACATTCACACTTTGTCACAAGCAATAATTGTCATATTACAGAAATAATAGAATCTTCTTTTTCCTTTTCTAAAGTTTAAAACAGTAAACGTTAAAACATACTTTGGGCTTGCTCACTTAAAGCTCACCAGGGCGGGGCAGGGTATCCAGGTGCTTCCACAGCGGCAAATTTGTATACACTGTAGAGGCGCACAGACGTAGGGATGGCGACTCTAGGCTAATGGTGACTCGGCTGCTCAGCGACTCTTCCCCTCACCCCTTCCCCTCCAGTTTCAGTTCTGGGGGTGATGCTTCCCCTGGACTCTTAAAATCCTGCCATTTCAAGGTGTACAAATTCCTATGTGAAACACTGGTGAGGATTCGCTAAGCACCCTGAGCTTTAACTATCACCCCTGATTTCCTACAGCTCCACCCGCCACCTTGCCACCCCGAGTCCCCCCTGCCCCCCGGTGGCTCCCACTCTCCCCTCTCAGCGCGCAGGGTGCTAGCAAGGCGGCGGTGGCAGCGCCGGGTGAGGCCCGAGGGCTGCGAGGACGCGGGGCTCCAGGCGCATTGTGAAGTGGCCTGAGCGTCACAGGCGACCGGGGCCCTCGGGGATCGGAAGGCGGGCGGGTCCCTGCAGCGCCCCCTGGAGGCCCCGGGACCCTCGCGCAGACGCTGGGCGTGGCCGCAGGCAGCATGGAGGGCCTCGGCCGCTTCTCCCCACGGCCCTTCACGGACCTCTGGGAGCCCCCGCCGCCCGACCGGGAGCGCGCGTCCTCGGCGCGGCTGGGCGGGCCTGGGCTCGGGTCCGAGCCGGCCCTGTGCGCCTGGGCCCGGGCCCCGGCCGCGGGGAGCGAGGCGGTGTCGCCCTGGCAGGCGCTGCCACTGCGATATTCGCCCACGCCGCGGCCTCGGAGGCGCGGCTACCTAGAGTCGCCAGGGGAAAGCTGCAGCCTGACCGACGTGGCCCGGAGGCCCCCAGACCGCGCCAGGAAGCAACGGCCCCGCAGCCGGCGCCTGGAAAATGCGTGGGGGGAGGCAGGGACCAAGCCCCAGCGGCTGGAAGGCGGCGGGCACAATCTGATCCGGCAGCCTCAGCCCTGGCAGCACTACCCTCTGGCCCAGGGAGACTCGCCGCCGCCGAGCCTTCGGGGAGCTTACACTCCCTCGAACGGAACTGTTGGAGTAGAAAAGGTACCGAATGGAAGCCAGTGGGCAGTGCCCGTCCGTCGAGGTCCAGGTGGCTGGTCCCTTTCCTCAATTCCCATGGAGAAGTCTTCTGTGCTTTCCAAAGTGAGTACACGGTCAGCCTGTGTGTACCCTCAGGATGGAGACAGTAATGAGCTGATGGAGTCATTAGGCAGCCAGCCCTCCCAGCTGGAGGGGAGTTCAGAGCCTGTGTCCAGCCAGGAGCTTCAGAGCCTGCACACCCAGCTGCTCAAGAACAAGCTGGCAGAGGTGGTGATCTCCTCCAGGGACCAGAAGATTGTAGCCCTGGTGCTGGCCCGGCTCCAGAAGGCCCAGAAGATGCGGGAGCTGCAGCAGCAGGCAGTTGTCGCCTGGGAGGAGCTGAAGCGCTCGGACCAGAAGGTCCAGATGACCCTGGAGAGGGAGCGCCGGCTGCTGCTGCAGCGGAGCCAGAATCAGTGGCAGCAGGAGAAGGAGCAGCCCAAGGCTCATCAGTGCCAGGAGCAGCATGTCCAGAGGGACAGCCAGGTGAAGAGCAGGATCCAGAAGGAGAGCCTGTGCAAGAGGCAGTTGGAGAGCCAGGAGAACCAGTGCCAGGGGAAACTGGAGAGGACTCACGCCCAGGCTGAACGCAGGAAGCAATGCCAGGTGCAGCAGCTGAAGGAGCAGGAGAAGCTGCGGGAGCAGAACAGCCTGCAGCTGCAGAAGAGGCTGGAGCAGGATTGTCGCAAGAGGCACCTGCACGCCATGGAGGACCCAAAGAAGGCCCAGGAGACCGACCTTACCTCCATGATAAATTACCAGGCCCGCAAGGTCCTCATGGAATGCCAGGCCAAGGCCGAGGAGCTCCTCAGGAAACTGTCACTGGAGCAGAGGTCCCAACAGTTCCACGAGACCCACCAGTGCCTGGTTAAGGAGCGTCACCGAGAGCTGAGGGAGAAGGCCCAGAAGGAGGATGAGCAGCTCCAGCAGGTCAGATGGCATGCCGGAGATTCAGAAGAGCAGAGGAAGATGCATAAGACAATGCTGATGGAGCTGGCTGACCGAAAGATCCAGCAGGCCAGGACTAATGCCCACAAGAACATCAAAGACAAGAAGCACATTCGGGATCTCAGTGGTCTTCGGGAGAAGAATCACCACATCCTGAAGCTGAAAGCCGAGAAGGAGGAGAATTGCCACATCGAGGGCATCAAGGAGGCCATTAAGAAAAAGCAGCAGAGGATGGAACAGATCTCCCGGGAGAAAGCGGCAGCCCTCGAGGAGTTCCAGAAGATCTCCAGGGCCTCTTCACAAATGAGAGACAAAGTGAGAGCCCTTCACAACAGCTCCTTTGATCAGATGGCATGGGAGGCCTAGCTCTGTGCCAGTCAGCAGAGAGGGAGCTACTGAGGGCCCAAGAACAAGCCCATGTGGCCAGAAAGAGATGTGGAAATGTGATTCATTTTATAATCTGGTTATAATTGAGCATTGATATAAAAAGTGTATAAAATCACTGCAATTTTCTCTCATGAACTAGTTTATTGATTCACTTGGGATAGTTTAGAGGGTTGGGGATAGAAATTTGGGAATTTCAAGAAAATTACTTGGCATTGTGAATTTTTTATTTGGATAGGAAATATTCATTTAGCTTTCAGGTATTATAAGAACACATCAGACACATCTTGGACGAATCAGAAAAATCTATAGTGGGGGTGGTATAGGTCTGTGTAATATTTTAATAAGTCGTTTCCTGTCACAGAAGTTACAGAAGGGTGAATTACCAGTCACGAGAAATCACCGAGATAAAAAGGAGGGGAGGGTTCTGTGAACAAATAGGTTTCAGAACCCTGCATATGACGGCCCCCCCTTGGGATGCACACTAACATTTTAAAGGCTGTAAGAAGGCCTGCTAGGACCCCGGCTGGTACAGTGGTTAAAGTGATTGACTGCTAACTGGAAGGTTGTCGGTTTGAAACCGTCAGCCGCTCTGTGGGAGAAAGATGTGGCAGTCTGCTTCCGTAGACATTTACAGCCCTGGAAACCCTATGTGGTCACTATGAGTTGGAATCGACTTGATGGAAGTGGATTTTTTTTTATTAAGAAGGCCTGCAGTACAGGAACTTATTTGTTTAACCTAGTGTTTTTCACAAACTATGGGACCCCCCTTGGTTTTTCTCAGATTATTCCATGGAATTGATGTTCTGCAGAATATGTTTTTGGAAATGATGCTCTATAACTACTCCGAGACTGCGAATTGCTTTGGCCCGCCCTCCCCATATTGATACGAAGTGTTTATAACTCTATCATCTTGGCTTTGCTGCTCAACCAAAGCCATGGTGTCTTAGTTATCTAGTGCTGTTACAATAGCAACACCACAAGTGGGTGGCTTTAACAAACAGAAATTTATTTTCTCACAGTTCAGGAGGCTAGAAGTCCAAATTCAGGGCATCGGCTCTAGGGGAAGGCTTTCTCTCTCTGTTGGCTCTGGAGGAAGGTCCTTGTCTCATTTGAGTTTCTGTTCCTGGGGATCTTCATATGGGTTGGCATCTCCTTTCCCCCATCTCTGCTTGCTTAATCTACTCCTTTTATATTTTGTGGGAGATTGACTCAGGACACACCCTACACTAATCCTGTCTTATTCACGTAACAAAAACAACCCATTCCCAAGGGGGATTATAACTGTAGGCACAGAAATTAAGATTTACAACACATATTTTTTGGGGACATAATTCAATCCATAACACTATCCAAGAGCTTACTGGAACCTATTTGGCTTGATTTTCTTTTCTTGCTTTTTTTGGTCCTAGCCAGTATTATGGAGCAAAATTCTATTGGAATCCTTCCCCTCCGTTTCTCCGCTTTTGAAGGAGTTCTATGATGTCATTCTGTCTGCCCACATTGTGTCTAATTAACTTAACCAGGCTCTGAATGAATGAATAAGCATGATTCAGTAACATGACATTTTTAAAATAAGGAACCTGAAGCTAAGTAGAAATTAACCCATAACATCTCAAAGTCTCTGTAAAAAAAATTCTAAATGTTTTCTTAATGTAACATTTGTCTCAAAGAAAAGAGAGAGGAAAATCAAAAGAATAAGCCCCATTGAAAGACTTCTGTCTTATTAATACTAATTTTTGAAATCAAATTAGCCTGGCAAGGAATTTGATAAGGAATTTTGTGCAGAGGTCAGTTGAGGTTTACTTCGTCATCTCATATATGGAAACAGACCCCCTTCCCTATTCTGTTTTCTCCCCCTGACCTAGCTGCTTTGCATCTGCTGCCCCCAAAGAGTCATACTCAGGCCCACACTCCTTTGCTCTCTGAGAAAATCTTATTCTTTTCTCCTCACCCACATTAATCCTCTGCTCTAGCCAAATGCCATGTGCATTCCAGGCATCCTAGGGTAGTGCTTAAGAAGTTTCAGACAGACCTAGGTATGAATCCTAACTCAATACAATTGTGTGGCTTCGGGGAAGTTACCTCCTTCAGTCTCAGTTTCCCCATCTTTAAAATAGAATAATTTGTACTACAAAGGGATACTATGAGAGATGATTAAAATAATCCATGTAAAGTGCCTGGCATAGTGCCGAGGACCTAATACACACCCTATAATGATTTTTTATTATTATTAACAATACTAACCTTGCACCTTTGTCGATTCTGGTCTCTTACCTTGATGCCCCCTCACCAGCTGTCTCCTCTCTTCCAAGTCTGATTTTACTGAGCTTAGTTCACATTCTACCTCTTCCATGAAATATGGGACCTTCCTGTCTTCCCCCATCTTGACATCACCCTTCTCTGACAAACAGCACTGGTCACTGAGCACTTAGCAGTTGCTGCTTTTTATGGCATATACTTTTTGCAATCCACATCTTGGCTTCCTAGCTAAACTGTATGTTACCTGAGGCCAGGGTCATTGTCTTAAACCCTACTTAACATAGTGGTTGGTATATAGTCGAAAGCTATTAAGATGTTTTGACCACACATCCATATCTCATGCCTTTCACCACACTAATGTTCTTTACTCTTTGCTTTAAGAAATAGACTTTCATTCTTTGATCCAATTCTTCTTGAATATCAGTAGTATAAATAATCAATACAAAATAAAACTGATGGAAAATGGAGGAGACATACTATCCCTATTCCTCCCCTAAGTACAACTAAATATCCTGAACATTATATATAAAACTAACATAAGAAAACTCTAAAATGTAGAGAGAAGACAGGCCAACTAAGGACCTTGGGACTGAAGGAATGACATGGTGGTGCATTTCCTGTGTTTTCCTTTTGCTTCATATATCCCAGAATGGAGCAGAAGAAATCAGCAACCAGGAAACGCCAGTAGGCATAGACAAAGAAAAAAGAAAAAAAAAAACAAAGCCTGCTTTCTGTAGCCAAAAGACCAGAAAAGGGGCAACCTAACAAGATAAAACACTTTTAGACAATAATCACTCTACTTCAGCCAAACACCACAGAAAAAAAGTATCTCCACCCTCACCCATGCCAGAACAAGACTTCTACACTTGCCAGATTCTACTAAGCAGCCCTCTCCCTGCTGCCTCCTGCCTGCCCACTGGGGTTATATCATAAAAGACTGAGTAGGGAGCTGGGACTTTCACCCCTGCTACCTCTTTCCCCACAGTGTCAGTAAGATCCATGTGGGGAGCAGTAATAAGGCATCCTACCCCTAATAGCCACTGAAATATCAGTGGAGGATTAGTGGGGAGTTTGAACTCCCACTCCCACCCAGCATTAACAAACAACCCCCCACCTCAGATGCCAGTGGATGCTGAGTGGGGAATGTGGACTTCTACCTTTACCTCGCAGTAATAAGGCAGTGTCCCTTCTTTCTCCCACCAGAGTGGTGTCAAAGAGTCCAGGTAAAACAAGTTTAAATAAAATTCAGGGTCTCAAAATACTCAAAATGTCCATATTTCAGTCTAAAATCACTCACCATACCAAGAACCATGAAGATTTCAGACTGAATGAAAAAAGACAATAGAATCCAAAACCAAGATGGCAGAAATTTTAGATTTATCTGAAAAAGATTTTAAAGAAGCCATGATAAAAAATACTTCTACAAGCAAGTATGAACACACTTCAAACAAATTTTTAAAAAGTCTCAGCAAAGAAATGGAAGACATAAAAAAAGATCCAAATGGAAAATTTAGAACTGATATAGGCAATAAAATAAAAGACTGACTGGATGGGTTCATCAGAAGAATGGAAGGGACAGAGTAAATGAAAGAATTAGTGAACTGGAAGATAGAACAATAGAAATTATCCAATCTGAACAACAGAGAGAAAATAGTCTTGGGAAAAGAAATGAGCAGAGCCTCAGGAACCTATATGACCATAACAAAACATTTAACATGTTATTGGAGTCCCAAAAAGATAGGAGAAAGTGAGCAGGGCTAAAAGCATTTGAAGGAATAACAGCTGAAAACATTCCAAATTTGGCAAGAGGTATAAACCTATACATTGAAGAAGCTGAGCAAACCCTAAACAGGATAAAACCAAAGAAATCCACTCTAGAGACGTCATAATTAAACTTCAGAAAACTAAAGACAAAGAAAAAAAATCATTGAGAGCAGTCAGAAATGACACGTACCTAATGGAAAACAATGAGAATGACAGGAGATTTCTCATCAGAAACCATGGAGGCCAGAAGAAAGTGGCACAGTACTTTTTAACTCCTAAAATAAAAGAAGTTTCAACCCATATTCCTATACCTAGTGAAAATATTCTTCAGAATGAAGGGACAATCAAGACATTATCTAACAGATGAGAGAAAGCTAAGAATTTGTGACTAGCAGACCTACCTAAAAGAATGGCTAAAGGAAGTTCTCTAGACAGAAAGGAAACAATAAAAGCTACAGCAAGAAGGAAGAAAGAACACGGTAAGCAAAACTATGGGTAAATGCAATAGACTTTCCTTCTCCTATTGAGTTTTCTAAGTTATGTTTAGCAAGTGAAGCAAAAATTATAACACTAATCTGATATGGTGTTAAATGTGTGTAAAAGAAATATTAAGACAATTATACTATAAATAGAGGAGGGTAAAGGGACGTAAAGGAAGGTAAGGTTTCTATACTTTACTCAAACTAGTAAAATGTCACCAGTAGACTGTGACAGGTTTTACATATATATATATATATATATATATATATATATAAAGTGTAATATCTACAGCAACCACTAGGAAAGCTATATAAAGAGATACACTCAAAAACACTATAGATAAATAAAAATGGAATTTAAAAAAATAGTTAAGTAACCCACAGAAGTCAGGAAAAAGAAAACAGAAATAAAATCCAGAAAACAAAAAATGAAATGTCAGACTTAAGCCCTATTATCAATAATTACATTAAATGTAAAAGACCTAAATACACCAATTAAAAGACAAAGATTGGCAGAGTGGATTGAAAAGCATG